AGGGTGTACCCCAGGGGTCCCGCTTGGGGCCCCCATTATGGAACGTGGGGTACAACCCAGTTTTGCGGGTCATGGTCCCGGACGGTGTCAGCATCACGTGCTTTGCGGACGACACGTACGTGTTTGCCACCGACCGGGACTGGAGCAGGACCAGTCGTCTTGTGGAGATTGGTGTGGCTACCGTCGCAGCTGCGGTCCGGAAACTGGGGCTGCAGATAGCGCCCCACAAGACCGAGGCGATGTGGTTTTACTCGCCTCGGCGTGGGGTTGCACCACCGCCCCAATCTTGGATCCGGGTAGGTGACACCAGGGTCCAGGTGGGTAAAGGGTTCAAGTATCTCGGCCTCCACCTGGACGGCCACTGGCACTTCGAAAGACATTTCGACCGTCTTGCCCCCCGATTAGACGGGGTAGCAAACACCCTTGGGCGGGTGCTGCCCAATATCGGGGGGCCGAGCGAGAAGGTTCACCGCCTTTATACGGGGATCGTGCGGAGCGTGGCCCTGTATGGGTCGCCCATATGGGCCGAGGCCCTGATGGCGTCTCGCCGCAGCCAAGCTGTGCTGCGGCGAGTGGAAAGCAGGATGGCCATCAGGGTCGTGAGGGGATACCGCACGGTCTCCCACGCGGCAGCGATGACTCTGGCGGGTCTCGTACCTTTCAAGTACGAGGCGGAGGCCTGCGCCACGATTTTCTGGCGCCCGCGCGGCCTCCGCCAGGCTGGAGAAGACCCGCCAGAGCAGGAGGTCGAACGGGAATTGAGGTGCCAGGCCCGACAGGATGCCCTGGACCGGTGGCGTCGCAAGATAATTGCGAGTGGCACCGCCGGCCAGCGAGCGGCCGGGTTCGTAGCGAGGCGACGGCTATAAGCCACCACTGCGGGGCGGGACTCCGCGCAATACACACTGGAGCACTGTCCAGTGTTTGCGCGGGCCCGTCACGCCCTGCGGTGCGAGTTGGGGGTGGATCTCTCGCCGGCGAGGATCAGTGGAGGGCGATGACCTCCTTCGGCACAGTAAGCTGAGGAGGACGGGGCGGTGGGCCTTGATAATCCTGTCCACCGCCCCTAACAAGATAAGGGGGGGGAGCTTCGCCCTCCCCCCCAAAGTAGATGTAGTGGGGGAAGGCTCCGGCCTCCCCCAGGGGAATAGGAGGGGGGAGGGGGTGCACCTCTCGCGGCTTCTTGCGGTATCGCTGGGCCGCAGGTGGTCGGAGCTGGGGCCCCGTCACCATTGCACGCGGCCCGAGGAGTAGCCGGCGCCGGGTGTGGCCCCCGTCGTCGGCGGAGTTGGCACTAAGGGGGGGGGGGGGGGGGGGAGGGTCAAAGGTTAGACCCTCCCCCGTGATGGGGCGCTATGCGGCAAGGGTGGTTGGATCCCGGTGTTGTTCGTTAGAGGTCCCGGGGCCCTTCCTTACGCCCAGTGCGGGTCACCGTGGGGGTTTTAGCCGGTAAAGATCCGGCACTACCCTCGGCCCCTCCCCAGAGGGGCTGGGGGCGTGTTTGGAAGATTTTCCCCACGAAAAAGAAAGAAAAAAAGTTAAGGTGTCTTTTTCGAAGATTTCTCCTCGTTAAATAAGAAAAAAAAAAGTTAATGAATTTATGTTTTGGAGCATTTTAGTTTTTGACCTCGAGCGGGTCAAGGTCTCATATTTAAGACTTCCCACCCACACTGTTGGGTTCCTCTCGTTAAGGGCTTTCCAATGATATATGACACATCCGGATTTGCGTCCCACCTTTTGGTAAAGGTCAATCCTCCCACTCCGATTTTCATGATTTTTAAATATGTTGTAAAATTCGATATTTTAAGCAACTTTTTTCCTCTATGCTATATGTCGGACTCGATTAGTTTGCGAGATATTCGCAAAAAACTGTGACTGTTTCTGTCAACAGCACCACATGGCCCGGCTACCATTCATCAGATCATGGCCCGACTGCATTATTACCTCACTGAAACGATTCTCTCGCTACTTTCCTCAAAGGAAATGTCACCATAATAGACCCAAGCCCTTTTCTGTCATCGATATCTCAACGGGGGTACATACTGCAGCCGTGTGCGTGAAAATGTGTGTTAAGCCTCGTACTGACTGGAGCATTTTGCCCGAACGAATGCTCTCGGCGAACGAACGTTCGATCGGGTGAGATTTCTTCGTTCTCTCGAGCATCGCATTCGTGCGTACAAAGTCGTACTCCGGCTATTCGCGCAAACCTTTCTACCTGGGGTACCGTAAACCTTTCTATCTGGGTTCTATGTAGAAAGGTTCTTTCTACCATAAACCAGTCGAAATCAGAATGTCGACAGGAACAGATGTCACGATTGCCAGGGCAGCGTATATTGTTATGAACACAATAATTAAAAGAAAAAGAAGATTAAAAAATCAAGATAAACGATGGTGGATTAGTCAGATATATAAAAATAGAGCAACCTCTAGTGGTGAAAAACTAGACTGAGATTTACAGATAAAAGCTACTGGACATTTAAAAAATTTTGTGCGGATGTCATCGGAAGATTTTGAATGTTTAATAAACGCTATCGGCCCCAAAATTCAAAAAACGACACCAGATTCAGAAAAGCTGTGACGGTGAAATAACGCTTAGCTATAACGCTACGTTTTTTAGCAACGGGAGACTCATATACGAGTCTTCAGTTTCTGTTTAAAGTATCTAATCAATTAATATCAAAAATTGTTCCGGATTTCGAAAATCAGTTTATGACGGTTCATCAGGCCATATCATAAACTGAGTTTTTCCGAAGGGTAAATTCGACAACGGTCAGAAATGGGATGTCGACTTCTACATTCTATTGTGGCGGCACTTCCTTTGGGTAGCGTAGCGAGAGGATCACCCTGTATGTTGTTTTTACGCTCCAAGCGGTCTCCGAATCTTCCCTCTGAACGGCAAGAAACCAACAATTTTCGGATCGGCTCGTTGCTTACCTCCGTATCACAGACCAACAGGCTAACTTTCGATACTCAGCAACGGAAAAATCTCTGGAAAATTAACATTGTCCTTTTTTAATAATCACAGAGGTGATTATTAACATTGCTCGTTTATCTACAGCGTAGCACCGAAGATAATTGATATGTTTAAATATATTTTGACGATAAAATTTGTCTAAATTAAATCAGATTAAATTTCATCGATTTTGAAATGAGTCCAATAATACCGCAAGATTTAGAATAAATTGAAATGTTAATTTATGGTACTTGAAACCCAAGTGACGGCACGAAACACTATGTCAAGTGCAAACGCATGAACCTTTCCTTCGATGCAACGGCAAAGAACCGACAAATTTTTCGGATCCGTTGCTTCCGTAACAAAGGAACAGCACGCAGCAAACCGAAACTCCTCGCTTGTAGTGGCCCAGTCCTATTGCCGAACTGTTTCTTTCAAGAAACGAAGAAATATTGACCGAGCCGTAGCACGCTGTAACATGCAACGATGCAGCGCCTGCCTCTTCAAGTGGATACGCAACGTTTGATATGTACTGTTCGTTACTGGTAAGTTGCGATCCAATCAAATTCGTTGATCTGCCTCCAGTCACACGTATTATGTTTATTGGCCGAGGCCCTTACATCATAAATCTACGCGTGACGAACGTCGCTAAGGACAGACATTGAAACAGAATGATATGAAGCGATAGCGAGCGATGACTCGGACGCATTGACGTAGACGTAGATTCGGGATTTACATTATTAAGAAAACAGGAGAGTTTTTACACTTTCCATAATGTAATTACCATAAATTTTGCGTAATAACAACTGTTGTCAAGAACAAGTATTGTAAAAAATCCATTAATATCCCGAAAAAATCGCATGTTTATACAGGGTGATCCTCTCGCTAGGGGACACAAAGGAACTGCCGACAATGAATTCCTTGACCGCATCATGAAGACACACAGAGTCGTCTCGGCCCGGGTAGGTCCCCGATAGTACGTGACAATACGGACCTCTTTATGGTGCGGTCAAGGGGTCCATTGTCGCCAATGTTCCTTTGTGTCCCCTAGCGAGAGGATCACCCTGTATAGTTAAATGTATCTTCCGCAAATATGGAAATTTTACGCCTATGCAATGTGACCGCTGACTTCTCAAGTTACGGGTTCCTGGAGGGGATTAGGTGGAGCGAACGCACAGTCCCCTTGCCCGTCTGTCGGTTCAATTTGTTGATGCTCGGCAACTTACCAGCAATGAACAGTACATACATACAAGTGGATACCCGGCTTTATATCATCAACAGATTTCTGCCGTACCAACCCTGTTGGTACTGCCCTATCCCCTATTCCCTCCTAGTTACTTACCTAGTCTGAACGGTCCATTACTCTATCGCATTCTGGCGTGTGTTTATCCATATTATTCGCACTATTCGCATCTCCAACGCCTCCTCGTCAGTTACAGAAAGCTTCTGCCTAACATAGAAACCACTTAACGAGCGTATTTATGTCCATGCCTGTATCACATGCACACCCAATATCCCTAATATCGTTTATATTTCAAGAACGAAATCCTATATAAACGGTATAATCTAAAGGATTTTTAGATTTCTTTTGCTATTAAGAACTTGCAGTTTTTATAATATACTTACATACATATTTTTTCGAACACACTGTATAAATGTAAAAAACTTAATAAAATGAAAGTTAAAAAAAATAAAAGTAACACCCTTACAATAAAATATTAGCTTGCAATACTTTACATTTTATTATATAAAATAATACTTAACCTCATACAAATACTAAAAATAGTAATGCTTAAAATTACAATCTTATCTGGTATCTATTTACCTAATTAACTTTTCTTCAAAACGTCAAAATTAAATTTTAAACAAATTTCAATTATAACTTGTAATAATTTACATTAATACATAATACCTAATTTTTCACTTGAAAGGCATGTGAATTTTAAAGTATTATGTATATATATATGCAAAACTAATATTAAAAAAACAATTATAATAACATAAATTTAGCTAAAAATGAAAGAATAATCTTTCTTAGAAAAGTCATTGGAAGTTGACAGTGATTTCTAACATAATAAATTTTTTAATTATTTAGGTTATAGAATTTGAATGACAAATAGTTTTCGTCGAAATTTCATAAAATGTTATGAATATTATTAGCAATAATAGAATGATTATTATATTTTAAGAGTTTTTTGTACTATCACTAACAATTAAAATGGAACAGCTTCGGGTTTTTCAACAACTTTAAAAATATTTGATAATTCGTCAACTAGGGTTTCATATCTATAAGCTACTCGAATATCTGGTACATTTGTTCGAGTAATATCATTACCAGCTACCCCTTCCTTAGTATAATTTGGCCCTAGCCAGTACTGCTTACTCTGTAAAATAAAAGAAAGATATTTACATGACGTTACTTTATTAATTGAACAGGCATGAAAATATGTAGGTAAATACATATTTAATATTAATAAAGTATAGATAGATTTTACTAGGAAAAATGGTGATATAAGGGAAGGAGATCCCATGTCTCTCTACAATAGAATAAAAAATGTAAGTTTGTAGCAAGCACAAAGAAAAGAGAAAGAGAATGAATCTACATACATATGAGCGTCTTGAAAATACGCAAAAACGATTGTAGGATGGCTAACAGGCAGAGTCGCGAAGCGCGGACGCCACAACCGGTAAATTCATACTTGACAACGCGGTCGCTGATCACGGCAGCTTCGAATAGCAACGAACGTATATAAATTAAAGGGTCGCGAAAGACGAAATCGAAATCACTTCCGTTGCTGCCCAGCTCTTCTGAGAGAGGATGAGATAGAACTATCAGCTGCTCTTAGTCAGCAAAATAAGGACCTAGCAGAAGTGTACGGTGATAAATTGCAGAATATTATGTAAAGTTTCAACAAGTGTTAAGACTAAAATAAGTATAAGGTGAAATAAAATAAAATAAAATAAAATGAAATAAAATGAAATTTTTCTTCCTTCTCTGGAACACCATTTTCCTTAGAAAAACCTATTAGGCTCGATACCATATGTACTATACAATTCATACCTTATGTGGAAAACCGCTCATCAGTACTGAATTACGTGCTAATTCACACATATCGCATGAACTGAGTTTCCACACCTGTGCAGCAATGCTATATTCTTCCATTAAAGGTTCCTATATAAAATTTTAGTACGGATGAGCATACAATAAATATATTTATAAATATAAAATAGAATAATTATGTGAGACTAACTTTAGTAAAGTGAAATTGAAGAGGGTCATCTGTAGAGAGACTTATACACAATCCTCTTGCTAAATATTCTGGAAGTGGATTACGATGATAATTTAAAAATAGAGAATTATTACTGAGGGGTGACATTGCAATCCCAATTTGTGCTAAATAATATAAATATTGTAGTACTGGAACTTTTCGAAGTAAAAGACCATGAGAAATGTTTTCTGCCATCATATAACCACACACAAGGTGCTGAATGGGACCAGCTTCACCACAATGAGGTCTAAGAACAAACGTGTTTAAACCTTGTTCTCTGTACAAAAAAACATATTTAATATTAGAATTTTTATAGCTGGATAGTCGTATTTAATATTAAAAATGAGGCTTTCGGTTATAAGCTGTTTTTGAAAGGAAAAGATTTCACGAGTATTACATTAGGTGCTACTAAAAATTTGAATTTTGAAAATTGACAATTCTGAAAACTTTAAAATTTAATTCATATATTAACTTTTATGATACTTTATTATTAAAAATTATATTAGCTTTGTTTATGAGTATAATAGAAAGTGGTGGAATCTTTTTTCCTTGTATCGTCATTTTCCCTAGCCAAATTTAGCGTGTTTATTAATGTATGTAAGTACATAATATGTACATACATCAGTATCAATACATCTTTAGATCCTTGATGAAATTAACTACAATACTGACGAAGCATTTAAAAAATCTCTTTTTTTTGGACACAGTTTACACCCAAAAATCAAAAGCCAAAAGCCTACAAACAATATTAAAGCAATACCAGTGCTTAAAGTGTAGCAATATGGTATTTCAGATTAATTTAAAGCATTTTTTACAAATACATGCAGAAAATATATAACTTTGGAAAACAAACTTACGCTCTGAAATGGTTCAAAACAGTCATATTAGCATAAGTATAGTATTGATAATATCCGTATGGAGGATTTTCAATATCGAACCATTCTGCAGGGGGACAAACATCTTTGTCAAATAAGGGATTTTCAGGTTTACTTTCATCGTCAACCGAATCAAATCCTATTACCTGTATTGATCAATAAATTAATTACATTACCTTCTGAAATTATGCAGTAGAAGGAATATAAAATGTAGTTAGATTTAACATATAAAATATTATTTACAGTGCAATATTCAACAATACTTTTAATCGCATAATAAATTTCTGTCCAATTAATTGTAAGTATAAAATTGTTAAGTTACTTATAAAAATTACTTACATATTGAAGAAATTTATGTAATTCTGGATGAGAATTGGGGTCATTTGTCACTTCAAACAGAGGTAAAAAGATATTATTCAATATTTCTTGGAAGTTTGTCATCAGCTTGTTCAATTTGAAAATATCACTATAATTAAAGGATGATTAGTTAATAAATGGTAATTATATTATAGATGTTTATATGTATACATATAAAGTCTAATGAAAATACTTACTAAAGTCGAGGTATCTGAATGAGCCAACGCACGTTGTCTGAATAAACATTACTTTCAATAGCCCATTTTGCTAATTTATCCCATTCTTCTGGATTTTTACCGTAAATTGAGAGACGTAGTTCCGCATTTTGGTACTTTGATTCCTCCAGGTCACTGGCAACTTCTTTAATTATTCTTGCAAAAAATTTACCATTCAAATAATTGTCAGTTTTCAAAAATACTTCACGAAGTCTGCTCTCACCAATTGGATTGTACTTGGCATTAAATTTATCAAATCTATGGAACGTATTTCTATCCTAAAATAAAAATTATATGTAAACTATACAATATTTATCATAGATTTGCTTCTTTAAAAATTTAATTCGCACTTACTGCGTGTACATCTAACATATCCACACTGAGATCGTAAGTCGTTAAATTCATAGACTGAAACACTTCTTGAAGAGTCATCGTTTCTCCACTTTTTGAGCACGTAACAACTTCGTCTGCATGATTTTTTAAAGTTTTCTTGATAAACCTTAGTAAATGTTTTTGATTCATACAAGATGCTGCATGAATGTGAGTATCAACCTGAAATGAATAAAAGTTACGTTTCGTCGAACTTTATATAAGGACCTGTATATCTAAATGTTTAAGAGGGTTGAACTTCGCAGCAGGAAAAACATGTATATTATGTTTTCTTAACTGCTTAAATATGACAATTTTTAATTTCTGTATAATACCGAGTACGGTAGGTAAACTTCTGCACGAGAAATGGTGATGTAGGAAAAGGTTTCTACTATTCGCTATAACGTATCAAAATTCAAAATCTCAAATTTTCAAAATGACAAAAATTGGATTTAAAAGTTTGGAAATCCAAATTTTCAATATCTCAAAATTTTAGAACTTTAAACTTTAAAAATAAAAGTTTTCAAAATATAGGAATTTTAAAAATAAAAAATTCGTCAATCTCCTTAAACTATTCAAGAAATATTGTTCTTTAATAAAACTGTTTTTCTATACTAACCTTTCTGATATTATAGAAGTCTCTGTGGGGAACTGCTTTTTGACTGGCAAGTTCTCTAAGTTCGTTTAACAGTACGTGTAATTGAAATTTAGATGAGAGATAACTCAACCTTCTGTAGCAAAACGATTTTAACGGGCCGTCAGCGATCATTGTACAGAGAATATTCATATCTCTAACAAAAGTTGCTAAATCAGGATACGAGTAAGGAATAGGCTTTCCATTAGCTAAGTCTTCTTCGTTAGCGTATACATTAAAAACACCATTAACGGGTGAAATTTTGTAATTTTTTGTCACAGGAAATACGCATTCCCAGGGATCTCCTCGTGATGCTGGCGCGTGCACAGGATGATCTAATAATAACATTATTTATACGGAACAAACATTATCGTTATGTTTACAAAATTACATATTATTAATAACATCGTATATTTTATATCTATTTCTTCAATAGGAGCTTTTCAGAGTCCATAACTGCGAAAAGACCAGTTTTCGTTCTTCGCGCTTCCCCAGTGCGCATCTTCGCCCTGATTGGCGATATTCCCAAACGAAGTGGAAAGCGATTAGCAGAGAGCTCGCTGCGTTCCCCCACCATCTTCCAACCTGCGCGTCGCAGTTATGGACTCTGGTGAACTGCGGTATACATACAGAGTGGGCCAAAAGTCATTACGCACTGACTGATGCACAAATACAGGGTGTTTCACAACTCCCGTAACAGCCGGAGATGGGGGGTTGCTGGAGTGATACTGAACAACTTTTTCCTTTACCAAAATGTTGGTTGAAGCTTCGTTTTTAAATTATTAACGAAAAACACTGGCCAATGAGAGCGCGTGTAGAGCGCGCGCTCAACCACGCTCGGTCGTGGTCGCGGACAAACGTATTAGTAGAGTGTGGGTATCGAGAGAAGTGTGCGACAAATGTTACATCGTCTTAAATAGCCGCACGTTTCCCTAGATACCTGAGTTCCATCGAAGTTGTCGCAGTGAAGTTGGCGCACTAACACATTCACGCCACGTCGGTGAGCCGATGGGCGAGGTGCCGACGACGCGGTGTGAATGTGTTAGTGAATGTGTAGCCAACTTCACTGCGACAACTTCGATGGGACTCATATCAATGCGTTTGTTCACGACCACGACCAAGCGCGGTTGAGAGGCAATGCTCCCAAGGTTGAGCGTGCGCTCTCATTGGCCAGTGTTTTTCGTCAATAATTCAAAAACAAAGCTTCAACCAACATTTTGGTAAAGGAAAAAATTGTTCAGAATCACCTTAGCAACCCCCCATTTCCAGCTGTTACGGGAGTTATGAGACACCCTGTATATTACTGACATTATTAAGTAACTTCTACAATTATTGAATATTTCAAAGAATTAAAGTATTAAAAAAAAAAGTCTTCACTCTACGTTCAACTTCCTCATTAAAATACATATGTATGTATAATAACTTCCTTTAGAAACGTTCGTGTTTGTATTTTCGCAAGTACTGTATAATAATCAAGCACGTGGAAACGAAGTTGATACATGGTACACCCCTTTTTTAACAACATAATGTGACATTAAATGCCTTCTTCACGATAAAACTTATATTTGTACCTTGAGGTATGTCTTGATATACAAGGTGTTCGACAACAGGTGAGAGATTTTTTAAGGGTTGATTCCAGGGATAAAAATAAGACGAAAATCAAGAATGACGAAATAGCGTTTATGGCTTTGTTTTCCAGTAATTAACGTTTAAAAATTCGAGTAAAAAGCGCCTAAAACTTGCAATCTGCCCAGCAACGACGACTGAACGTCAGGTCAGCAGGGGTGGGTACAGTCATAACCAAGAAGAGAAAGCCGAATACAAGAAACAGAATAGCACGAGGTATTCAATGATTCTTGGTTATGACTGTACCCACCCCTGCTGACCTGACGTTCAGTCGTCGGTGCTGGGCAGATCGCAGGTTTTAGGCGCTTTTTACTCGAATTTTTAAACGTTAATTACTGGAAAACAAAGCCATAAACGCTATTTCGTCATTCTTGATTTTCATCTTATTTTGATCCCTAGAATCACCCCTTAAAAGATCTCCCACCTGTTGTCGAACACCCTGTATAGGTCTGTATATGTAAGATTAAATCTCATTGTTGTATTTGCAGGTTATGTAGGTCTGTCTTCAATAGGGCTATAGGTTTGTACCGAGTATATAAAATAGCCAGGTATCTGGATATCCGTGAGATATAAAAGTAATCAAAATCATTTGGCTAGCCGGTTGCCAGCGAAATAATCGAACACAGGAGAATCGTCTTTTCTTTTATTTTATTTTCGTCTCTTGGGTAGCCGAGTAATTTTATATCTAATAAACTGATACTTGAAATTTGTTCTCCAAGTATGTCGTGAGGCAAGTCTCATCGTTTGTAGGGCTGAACTTCGTCTTGGGGGACCAAAAATTTCTGGATGAAAAGTATCAAATCTTATAGTTTTTGACCTGAAACATTCGAAAATGCAAGTTAAAAGTCCAGGAAACCAATAGTTTAAAAGATACGAGTACATGAAAATGTGTGTACTTGGCGTACTTTGACAGGTCAGTACGACGCCATTTTGTCCAATGAGTGGAGTCGCCGTCGGTAAAACAGAATTATATAAGTGGTGGCCTAAACCCGGTATACCTAAGGTTAAGTTTTTTTTTTTATAAACAATATCCCCTCGGGTTTGATAGGAATTGAAGGTACTCACACCCAACAAATAGAGTCCAAACAAAGGATTGGATGCGGGGAAGAGTCAATATGACATCGTACTGTCCTGTCAAAGTACGCCAAGTACACACATTTTTATATACTCGTATCTTTTAAACTATTGGTTTCCTGGAATTTTAACTTGCATTTTCGGACTTTTCAGGTCAAAAACTACAAGAACACATATTTTGGACCCGTTAATTTTTGGTCCCCTAAGACGAAGTTTAACCGTTTTTAAAACTAATTTTCTTGAAAAGGAAAGTTTCACGTGAAAAAATGTTATTCCATATCCATTACGTATTTTCTCATCTATATTTACCATTTATCCGCTTCTACACAGCCGACTCTAGTACTAGCCGTGCTGAAGTAAAAATGGCAACACCGCGGGAGTCCGGTCTGAATATATCAACATCTACCCTACTCTATCTGCCTCCCGGACTCCCAGACTCTCAGCCAATCAACGTCGTCAGACTCCCGACTACTCTCTGGACTTCACATAACCTCTTTGGTTTCGTTCCGATAATTTCGCTTGTTTCAAGGTTTTTATTAACTTATATACACGTTTATCAATTCTTAAATGTTTCAATTTGATCCAAAGATGGTTTCATTTTGCTTCATACCTAAATTTTCTTGAAACCACTGTAAATATTTTAAATATCATGCTTCACAACACCAAACTACTTCGAGAGTACACAAAATATATATCACATTTATAACAATTTTATACTACCACATCACTTCTACTTGCCATAGTTGCAACGTTTATGTATTGTTTATACATAATTAACACAAAATAGTGTATATTACTACAGCTTTTAATTAAAAGAGACGTTAATTACAATTCCGAGCACAGGACTCTGTTTTTGAAAATAGGACTCCCGATTGTCACGGGGGCGGTGTTGCCACGTTGTTCAGCATGGCTAGTACTAGAGTCGGCTGTGGCTTCTACCATCAGTTAAAAAACATTCTATATGTATGTATGTAGAGTTGCATTGAACTTGTCGCAGTGAAGTTGGCCACGCATTCACTCACCGACGCGGCGTGAATGCGTAGTGAATTTGTAGCCAACTTCACTGCGACAAGTTCAATGCAACTCAGTGTACGTATAAGAAAGATTAATACGATGAAATCAATATAAATTTATGAATTTTAAATCAATACCTGCAATAGCTTTACGATCGTCATGTTGAACTTCATCATCGCTATTCACTGGCCTTTTGTCAACACTACGTAGGAATCGTGATGTTATAGAAGGAAAAATTTGCTTAGAATTGTTCATGTATTTTTCCCGTATTGCCAATGCTTGAACCAACATCCGAGATGCTCGCTGGAGGTCCTCCAAGGGAACCTAAGAACATGTAGTATTATGAATTTTATAATACATTTTATGAAGGATATCAATTTTATTATAACACGAACTGTAGCAGTGATGGGCAGATAAAGTGCCCCTTAATAGCTCACCAGGCACCGGTATACAGATGCGTGTAGCGATCAGATGTGAGCGATATCAAATTTTTATATTTTCAAATTTACAGGTTTACAAATTTAGAAACTTAAAAATTTAGGAATTTAGAAATTCAGAAGTTATAAGCATACAATTTTCAATTTTTGTTCCGAGCCATCTCCCAAATTTAATGATTTTTACTTCATTTATAGTATTTGATATGAAACCCTTATATGTCATTGCTTAAGCCTCTATATGTATTGTAGAGTCTACGAGAACTTCTGTAGGAGAAAAAAGGCAAAATGACATTTTCGTATTTTCTCGTCCATATTAGTATTTTCTTTTCAAACTTCGCGTTATTACTTTTGTCTAAGACCTTTATAAAATTAGTTATAGAAACGTTCGCCCACCCATTTTGTTTTTCAGTAATGGCAATTTATAAAGTCGAATTTTGTTACGATCCCGTGGATTCCCCCGTCATTAACGTCCAGCCCAAACCCCTGAACCTAGAAACATGAAATTCGGGTAGTGTATTTTCCTCTTATGGCGTAAGCACCCACTAAGAATGGATTTTTAGAAATTCGACCCTTAAAAGTGTAATAAGGGTTAAAATCTATTTACACGGATTCGTCAATATCTCTTAGGCCCGATGAGATATCGACTTGGTTTTTGCTTACGAAGGTCCATCCATACAAATGATTAAAAATATATTTCAGGATTTTGTTCTAATCAACTTCTAAAGGCGCAAATCTAGATTCAGGGATGAATTATAGAACCCTTCGTATCTCCTGTCTACATGCAAATGAATATAGACCTGAATCTAATTAAGAGTGAGATATATTCAGTATCTATCATCTATTATAATGTACATATAGGTGTCTGTAACTCACAATGTAATTATAGTAGAACATTTCAATTATAATTTTTACTAATTGTAAGTTAATTTTAGCAAAATTACAAAATGCGAAAACAGTGCAAGCTCGTGTTAACATGTATATTGATCTGCACATTCTTATTTTGATTTATACATCGCTTAATACACAACCATGACTTTTAATAATTACAGAGATTTTGCCTGACATTGGGTAGTTGTGCTAAATTTAAATTGTTTATTGCAATTAAAGGAAAGATTATTGGAGTCATGTCGAGGCCCCGAACTCCGAATTCCGCGTCGGTAAAACAGTCAACGTTTCATCGAAAATTAGGCCGAACTCCGAATTCCGCGTCGGTAAAACAGTCAACGTTTCATCGAAAATTAGGCCGAACAGACTATACAAGTGGAATAGGCCTACTGGAGAAACCACTAAATAAAAAAAAACGCATTCACAATAGAACCTCAAGGGTGATGCGGAAATCTATTGGTGTAAATGTAAATATACGCAATCATCTATTTGCGTGTCTTATTACATATGTCCTCCGGGGGCGAAACCCGGGTAACCAGCTAGTATGAGATAGGTTTAAATCAAATCGGAGTTGCACATACATACTTTTACAGTCATACAGACGTAAGAAATTTAAAAAAATTGTAAAAATCAGAATATTTATTAATTCATATGAGTGAATGAATTCATTCTTCATCTCGTTAGTCCTCATTTATTACAACATGTCCAATTTCAAATAAAGAATTCAATTCCTTGATCGGTTGGAAAGCTAATCATTTATTCTACATCTTCCTTTGAAAAATTACAATTGAAGCAACACGTAGATACGCAGAATCCACAGATTCTTAACCCGTTTAGACATTTACAAAACCAACCAGATTCAATCTATTCCATTTCATTCAATTCCATCTTTATCAGAATCGTTTCTCAGAAATACATAATATTTTTTGTTGTTTCTTTGTCTCGAGATTATATTTTAGCCTTCAAAAGTTCTCTTCAGATAACCCTATCTTTATATTAAACGTTCCATTCTAAAAATATTCCGCTAAATATGAAACTGATGTAACAAATTGATAGGGATTCGAGCAGAATTTGATCATATCGCTTTCATACAATGCAGGAAAATCATCTATTTCGATTTTATTTAATCTATAAGATTGGATTTGCTATTTTAACAGTTACTTTTTCTCGGCATATATGTTCAAAGTATGTTTATTTGTATTGTTTATTAATCTTTAATGAATTCGTTCTTAATGTATTCATCTGTAGAGTCGCTTATTAATACAATAATAATGGCTTATTGAACATATACATATATCTATTATGGAATGCTCCGAAAACATGATGATATACTATGATGCATATACTAACGATTCATTACGTATTTCTTGATCTAATTATTTCCACTGTTTTTTTAATACCATGGACAGCTTCTAATATAATCTATCGAACCTATATTATTTTTCTAGAATAATTGGCATCGTTACAACTTAATTGTTTTTTGTCTTTTGGAAGGAATATCGGTATAAAAACGTTGACATCTTTTAGTTCTATACAGTCGATAGCATCTCGAAAACCTCTGTCAACTATAAAAATATCGTGTGATCTAAGTAACTTCTAAAAATCTTTACCGTTTCCTAAAACCGCGATATTTACATTAGAATTATAGGATCTCTAAAAAGCAGTTATATACCCATCTGTAGTACATATACTAAAAGGTTTACACAAATGTAAATCTCTCTAAATCTTCCTTTCAAACAAATTCTTAGTACTTTTTTGATGACGTACGTACGTAAGTATTATCTGTTATCAGAAGTAATCCGTTTCGCCACTTCTTGCGATTGGATTCGGTCGCTGTAGCAAAAAGTTTATATTTAACTTCTTCGTGCCTATACATTTAGGTAGAATGTCAGTTCCTGAAGATTTTCTAACCAGGTCACAATAAGACCTTATGCAAAAGGACATGATATTCCAGTTTTTAGTCTGATCAAAAAAAGTGTGAAATCTTTTTTTTTTTTACTTATTTTTTTTCAGCCGAAGAGAAAGTATATTGCATAACAAGATCAAGATCAGTTAATTGTAATCTTAATTTTTCACTGACGGTGTCATCTCGAAATTGATTGAAGATATTAGATTTGGCTTTATTCTCCATTCGTATAAAAAGAATTTAAAAATCATTAATTGGTATATCAAGAATCAGGGATACTACTTTAATATTCGAAAATTCATCTTCAAATATGATATTATTTTTATAATGATTTTTCAACAATGTAAATATCTTTGGAGGTGTGTACAAATTTTATTTAAAAGATACGTATTAACTCTTACGACTAATCGTAATCTATTCCTTACATTGCAATTACAAATAATACATTCTTTTTGAGAAAAATTACAACGTGAAATTTCGACTGAAATAACTTCTCTCCCAGCTTCCTCCAACATATCGAATGTCAAACTTTTATTTCCAAGATTATAATCACAGTCGTCTTTGCTACAACTACTGCTGCATGAAATCAATTTTTTGAAACGTTGCTTTTCAGATAAATCGCTTTCTTACAACAAAGATAATAATAAATATAATTACACACTTTTAATTATAGAAAAGGTGTACAATAATTCACTCGGTACAAAGTTACAAAAGCGCGACTCTTATAACGAAATGAAAACTTCACGTTGTAAATATTTTTAGACTTTTACTGCAATCGATGCACAGGTTGTTTTTCAACAATTATTTAAAAAATGTCAGTTACAAAAAATAATTGAGAACAATTATTAATTAATAATTAGGGGAAACTTCCGAAAGGCGCCATCACCCCAGGACAACCAAACTTCGGATTTATAGTAATTGAGGGACGAGAAATCGAATGAGGCCATTTTCAGATCTGGCAAATAAACCGTTCTCGAGATATACAGGGTATACTAAAAGTGCGGAAACCCCCTATTATCTTGATAAGAACGCATTTCCACGCAAAATGACTAACCTAACCCTAACCCTAACCCTAACCCTAACCTCAACCCTAACCTAGGTTAGGTTAGTCATTTTGCGCGGAAATGCGTTCTTATCAAGATAATAAGGGGTTTCCGCACTTTTAGAATACCCTGTATATCTCGAGAACGGTTTATTTGCCAGTTCTGAAAATGGTCTCATTCGATTTCTCGTCCCTCAATTACTATAAGTCCGAAGTTTGGTTGTCCTGGGGTGATGGGGCCTTTCGGAAGTATACCCAATAATTAATGATTATAATTATTAAGCGACACAATTTTCTTTTATGGATAATGTTACATTGAATACGTATTCAAGCAAACTGACGTTCTAATAAATGAAATATTTGAATGCTATAAATGTATACTCATAAGAATCTATAGGCATGTTTTGACGTACTGAGCTCATCCGAATGCCAGTTTGTCCGAATACAAAACCACTGTAACCTTAGTCTAAGAAACAAAATGCGACCACAATACATACTCGATGAAATGAAAAACGCAATTGTATCAGCTTATTATTAAAACAATAAAAAGAACGTAGTTTATAGGTCTGTAACAATGAGCTGCTTAGGTCCTTATTAAGTAGTTAAATCCGTATATACTCCGTATATATCTTAATTTTCATTTTAAATGTATGTATGTATTTGCAGTTTCTAATTTGTTTCAAACCTATCTCATTCTGCACAGTCATTTATAGAGTATTATGCATAAAAAAAACTTCGCAGTGAATCTACGGGAACATAACAAAATTCGACCTTGAAAAATATAAACTGCCATTGCTGAAAAACAAATGGAGCGGGGGAATGATTTTATATCTCATTTTATAACATCTTAGATAAGACGAAGTGTGAAAAGAAAATACCAACATGGACGAAAGTTATGAGCAAACATCGAGAATGGCATTTTGTCTTTTTTCTCCGGTAAAACTCCCATTTAGGAGAGCCCACTCCAATGACCGTGACCTTGACATATATTATAGAGGATAACTTCCTGTGTAATTTTTACTTGTAATTTAATCGTCGGTCATTGCTTATTAAAAAGTTATTAACAATGGAAGATTGAAAAATGTACCGTTATTTTTCCAAAAATCTGATAAATATTCTTCGCCCCTCCCCTGCACCCCTGTCTCTAAAAAACATTAACCTAACTTAACACTTAAACGACCACTCACGAGATTTATCGTGTTTTAATGCTGAGATGCCGATCATTTAAGTGCTAACCTAACTTAACCTAACTTAACTTGATATTCATTTTGCAATCATAATCGTGACAAAAAAAAGGGGTTGTGATTAGGTTTGATTAAGTCAGTATGTTTTTAGGGGTGGGAGTGCAGGGATCAGGGCTTTGCTCCTCTCCCCCACTTCCCCGGCCCTTTAACCCCTTTTTTATTTTTCATGATTATGATTATAAAGTAGATATCAAGTTAAGGTAGGTTAGGTTAGTTTTTTAGAGGTGGGGGTGCGAAGCGTATTTATCGGTTTCAATACTAGAATATTTAACTAACATGGCAGCACTTCATGCGGAGAAAATTCAGATTTTTAGAATACTAACGGTACATTTTTCAATCTTTTATTGTTAATAACTTTTTAATAAGCAATGTGTTAGAGTAAAACGTTTAAATTTCCCTCGACTATATCTAGTTTATTTAGTCCCTAAGTAGTTGGTAAGTCATGCTCTTGCTCTGTTGTGTTATTAGAGCTGGCTATGCAGAATGCACTGCATAATTCATTATAATGCGTCTCCGTGCTTTTGTTGAATTTTTCATTTCGTGCGACTTTCTATAATAAAAGTTTATTAAAAGATTATTTATCAGCATTCTGTTACTTTTCAGAGCAAACACTTTGAAAAGCTCTTAAATTAAATTTTTGAGCGGTAAATTAAATTATTTTTAAATAAAATCTTGATATCTTTTAGTGTTCCTTTTTTGTTTCGAATCAAAGTTGTCAAGCACTTTTTTATCATCTTATATACTGAACTTTAGAAATAAAAGAAATTATGCTATTTGTAAGTGATAATATAAATTTTCTTATAAAAGTATGCCATAATAATCACGAACTTTAGATAACTTGGTGGGGATGATGATAGCTAACAAAGGTTTCTTGCGTAAGAAGACATTCTTAAGGTTTCTTTTCCTAGAAATTTAAAATAGGATATACATATGTATACTGTTACACAGAATAAACGTAATTAATTTATTGTATTTATTGTGACGTAATAATATAAGAAGACAAAATGAACATATCCACACCCGATATGAACAACATTGTAACTAGTTTATGCTAAGTTTAGAGGAGAGCGACTTACAATTTCTTCACTTTATTTTTTACGTCAGCTATTTGTCTCCGTTAGTGTAATGCCGGCTCTACTATACACTCAGAATCCCGATATAACGATTTACCGAATGTCCCCTTAGGACAAATTGTAAAGATCATTGGAGATAAAAAAAAATATTGTAAAAGCATGAAGCATTTTCAAAGTTGAATATTTGCAATTTGTGTTTAAGATTGATTATCTCGAAAACTATAAAAGTTAGATAAAAATTGTTTAGAGATTCGGATTCAGCACACAAAAATCTATAAGAATCACTCATTAAAAATGACAAGATCAAATAACTTGTATTCCACTCGCGATATTTATTTATTTCGATTACAACATGAAATACAAGCGAAGTTTAGGTACAAAATTTGTCGTTACAAATGTAGACTCTAGTTCCTAAGATGGTTTGGAAAAATCTGACCCGGAAGAAAAAGTGTTGGGTATTTTATAGAATCGGAAAAATAGGAAGGTTGGAGTTATTGTAAGACCAATGGTCGGTAAGGGATGAGATCATCAGGTGAAGGTTCGGAGATGACTAGTTCGGATGAATCATTAGGAATAGAAGGATGAACTTTGGGTGTTTGTTATTGAAGGTTACTTAGGTGTAGTACATACAATGAGTTGCATTGAACTTGTCGCAGTGAAGTTGGCCACGCATTCACTCACCGACGCGGCGTGAATGCGTTAGTGAATATGTAGCCAACTTCACTGCAATAAGTTCAATGCAACTCATCGTCAGTGTACATACAGTGGGTGATAAAATTATTATAAACAGATGGAAAACTTATATATTTTATTTTTCCAATGCTATTATGTATTCCTTAAAAGTGAAATATACTCTTTCCAGCAAAAACCATAACAGCCTACCTAACTAATAAAAAAATTCAAGCTTTACCGTGGCCTGGAAACTCACCAGATATGAAGCCAACAGAAAATCTATGGGAATTATTAAAGCGTCGCATTGCATCAGAGACAATAACTAACAAACAACAGTTAATTGGCAAAATTATATTCGTATGGTATCACGACCCAGAAATGGTAGAAAATTGCCGAAAAAATATGGAAAGCAAATATAAAAAATATAGATGCCAAGGGTGGCGTGATCAAATATTAGCATTATATGCGTTTTAAATTACAAAAGTTGTAAAATATAGCAATATAACAATAATAAAAATATAAGAAAGAAAGTGCTCCGGTTGTATAATGCTAGGAGCAGCCTTAATTACTAATGAAGATAAAGAAAAACATTGTATTTTTCTTTCTATGCTTTATCAAGTTATCAGTAATACTCAGAATTCAAGGTCAATCGATCGACTTTTCGTCGTCTAATCAGCTGCTAGTCGGTACATTTTGAATATTTATTAATTCGTATATTGGCTGAAAACTATTATTCAAACATCGAATGAAAAATTTTATAAATTAAGAAATTAGTACATATATTGTAATGTTATGCTTTGACATACCCCAGAAGTATCTTCTCCCGATATGGAGACCCTCTGAAAATGTGGTACCAAATCATTGTCATCGAAGTTAAGAAGATGATCAATTTCATCTGGTACACCGGGTCCAAGCGAAGGTTCATAATGGCTACGACGTTCCTCTAAATCTTTGGCAGCTCTGAAAGAATATTTCAAATACAGTTCTTTACTCCTAACAAAGTAAAAATTTATATGTAAATAAAATGGCTAACATTAAGATAATATATTCAGAAATTCGTTTAAGAAAAACTCGTTAAGAAAAAGAGTTCAAGGTTTTAAGGGTAGAGATAATATGTACATACTCGTAAATTAAAGAGAAAAAATTCCAATAAACATAAGTTGCATAGTTACTGTTATTAGAGTTATAAACAGTTCTTCAAAGGTTTCACAATGATCTTTGTTCAAACTTGAAAATAACTTGCATCTTAATATTTTTTTACTCAGAATATTGCAAAGAATCAACTTATTTGAAAACAAAATATGCAGCTCTATTTATAGAAATAAAAGTCACTGTAAAAATCTTGAAATGTATTGTATATATGACCTTTACTTTCATAGGTTGACTCCTATAAAACCTATACAGGGTGTCTCATAACTCCTGTAATACCCAGAAATGGGGGGTTGCTAGGATGATTCTGAACAACTTTTTCCTTTATCAAAATGTTGGTTGAAGCTTCGTTTTTTAATTATTAACGAAAAACACTGACCTAAAAAAGTACGGGAGTGATTTTTAAGTAACGATTTTTCCCCGTAAATTTAATGTTAGATGTAATTGGTATATTCATTTCAAAATATTTGTAAAATTATTTTCGTATGAATAACACGTATTTCGAAAAACTATTGAATTTAGCAAGATCAGCTACTGCGAACTCAGATACCAACAGTTACGCAAACGGCTATTTCAGTTGAGGAGAGACTGTACCGTCTTAACATATGTATGTTTCTTGTAAAAACTGTGTAAAATTGGCAATGTCTGAAAAATACCGCATCAACGAAGAAGAACGGAACTATTTTTTTTCGTGCAAAAGGAAATTCGCGGACAAAGAGTACCCCGTAAAACGAGGGACTACTGTATTCTCTAATGATAATTGTCAGATGATCAATATTTATAGTCAGTACTTTGTCAATACTAAAAATGTTTTGATTTTCAACAAATCATCTTGTGAATATTAGAAATATTAGCAATACATCGATTTTTTCCCTCACCCTTTCCATAAGGTTGACAGTACTGAAATACTGACAATACGTATTGATCGTCTAAAGGTCTTCTAGCGTCGTATTATGCACTGTAACTATCAAACGATTGAAATGTACGTTCATAGCAGTAGAAATACTTTTATGCACACTTGAAGGAACTTTATCAACGCTTTCATAAAACAGAGTCAATTGAAGAACAATGTTACGACTGACAATTATTTGACAATTCTGTTGACGGGATTACGAACTATGGTTACACTCATTGTCAGTATTCAACAATGGTTAAATAGAATTTTTGGTGATGTCTATTCAATTTCTTACGAGGGGAACTATCCAAGTGTTACACTCACTTATTAACTACCATTAAAAAAAAAGTTAAAAACCAAGGATTTGAACGATGGACCTTTAGATTGTGAGTCACGTGTTTAACCGCAGAGCTAATCGTTTCTATGTGTGAGTTTGTTATACTTCAGAATGTAAGAGTAACTAACTTTAATTGTTAATATCTTTTAAACCACTAGCTGTCTGCACCCAAAATGGAGTATAGGCGTGATCAGCTCGACGAGCTCAACAAGGTGGCAGAGTTTCATTAACACTAGAACTACCGATGTTTAATGCTCACTAATTTTTGTTGAAAATAATGTAGAAAATTAAATAGATAAGGGATGAAATATAATTTAATATATACATCCATTCTTTATCTCGACAATAGCCAACGTACATTTCAGCAAAAATACCTAGTTAAAATTTATAAATTAAAATAAGAAACTTGAATCCAGTCATTTTGATTGATTTGATAGTTTTAGTGTTAATAAGTGAGCGTAACACTTGGGTAGTTCCCCTCGTTAGTCTGAATTTTTTTTTCAATAGAGACTTGTTAAGAATACAGTGCATTTTTAACCAATAATGATATAAATCAACAGTTCTCAGCTATTAGTGCACATAGGTACTTAAGTACTAAGTACCACTAATGGTACCTGAGAGCCAGCTAGGTAGTAGCTCGGTATACGACCTTAATCCGTTCCTAATGTTTGGACTTATTCCGTATAGGACCTTTCCCATAAGAAGTAATGTAAAAATGATTAATCCGTTCTCATGTAAAAAAGAAACTATTGATATTACACCTACATTAATGGGGTTGTAAAATAATTTAAACACTGTTTATGTCATGAACAGCACTTAAACGATTTCCTAGAAGTTTATAAAAAATATTCACTAGTTTATTTAACATAATTAATTTGTAAAATATAAATGTAATCTAATGATAGATTCTAAATTAACAAACCAAATGGAATAAATTTTATTGCCTCCTGTTTTGCGGTTATAGTTTGTTATATGATATCCTTGCTTGTATGATCTGTCAGTTAATAATACATCAATTCCAAATATAATTGATTATTAATTTAATTGTTCCTCTGAAATAATCATTTAAAAATGACGCAAGATTCACACAAAAAATGTATGCCGTATACCGAACAAAATTTGTCACATCCAAACAGTACGTATTCCGAATTTGACATATTCCAAAGCAGACGTATACCGAGGTACCACTGTACATGGATAATTTCGACAATATACGGTACGACGTTAATTTATATTTAATTCAGAAACAAAGAGAAAACATTGTCAGCAATGTAATTAAGTGTATAATATCTTTTCAATTTTTATGTGCAGAACATACTTTTCTACGATGCTATCGAAATTCTTGAATTTTAATTTCGGGCATATGCGTTTATGGAAAGGTTGAGAATCCTTGGTGCAGATGAATTATATCAAAGAATACAAAATAACTGTTCAATAGTCAGAATAATGTCGCGAATTTTTTAAAAAGGGTGATAAGAAGCGTAGAGGTAAGTTATGTAAAATTTGAAATTAACACGAGACGCAAGAGCACTAAAATCGAATAAGCCGCTTGTCTTGACACTTTTAGCAAGGATATTATAAGATGATAAATCTGACGAATGCAGCAAACGGGTGTCATCATAAGACGACACGCCGGATATGGCAAAGTCGCGGAATTTTGATTCTTCGATCCACACGTACCTATCAGAACTTCTTTTCGTGTCTTTCGGAAAATTCACTGAAAGCAGTTTATCGAAAAATAAGTAATCAAAAACGAATATTCGAATGGTAATTTATTGAAAATAATTCATCAAAAATTTTAAATACATACATATAATATTTTTGATTAAAATTTTAAAACTTTCTTTTCTCAAAATTCGTCGGTAATTATAAAAGCATCACTTTATTTCTAGGTTTTTCGATTAGGTTAGAAGAGATTAGTTATTTGGAAAGAATTTTCGACGAATTGATATTCGAATGAATTTCTCGTAAACTCTTCTTTTCTCTATGTTCCGAGTGTTAGTTATTTTTAAAGCCCTGAACCTTTTTTCTTAACACGTTTGTTTATTTAATGTTTCATTAGAATCATAACATGAATTATAGAAACGTCTGTATTGATAAGACGAAAAAAAATGCGTAATCTATAAAAATTTATTAAGCCAACAATAAAATCAAATTATCAGTGAACCGGAATATTATTTATAATACTGCATTTTTAATTTAGGTTATCGTAGTTCTTTGTACAAAATGATTTTTTAACAAAATTTACATTGAAATTGTTTTTCTCCTGGATCAAATTATGTTTTCTTTCTAATAAGTAATATATTTCAATAATTGTAATATTGTATAACACTTTAACATGAAAAACAGATTCATACGTACCTACAATCATATTAAAGATACTTATTATAAGGAATGAACTAAAATGTTATGTTTAAATACTTAAATAATACATTTTGGGTTTCAATAATCATTCTGTCAAATGAACTGTGAAATGAAATGCTCTAATAACGTATAATACATTAAAATGACTTCATTATTCATCATTTTAACCATTAGTAGATCATTGTAAAAATATTATAAATTAATTTTTTACCAAAAATTTGATAATTTACATTTATTCTTTTTTTTTTGTTTCGCATTTTCCTTTAAGTATAAGTATTAAGTAAACTATTGATCATCAATCAATTAAAAGGGCAGTACACAAGCAAAGAACAACATTAAAATAAAAGTTCCCAGTAAGTATGTACTACGATATGTAAATCCACAAATTTACTTTCAATAAGGCATTAATGTAATTATAGAAAAACAAACTACAGTAAAGCCTCTCACATTGTCCGTAAGCTGGGAAGCGAAAATAGATAACATAGGTAGAATAGATGCTATAATATTTCTTGAGCCTCGCAGCGGCTTTTGATCTCCGGCGACAAGTCGTAAAAAAGAAGGATGGCATAAGAACCGTAGAAGCCGAGAAAAAGTGCCAGCCTATCGGTGTACTAACACAAATATGTACCCAACGTTACAACTACCCAAAAACTACAAATTTAACTTTCTTATTTTTAGATTTTTTTGCATGCAAATTATTCTAACATATTGGTACAATTTTTTTCATTAAAATGAAACCAAACATGATATAGTTTGGGCTATATGGACGAATAAAAAAAACTTAGCATTGGGGATGTTCCCTTGTACATAAAAAAATTTTAACCAAAAACATCTTAACAATATGTTAAAAAAATTTGTGGGCAAAAGAAAATACAATTAATAAAGTTATAGTTTTATTATAAACTGAACTCTCATTAAGGAAGCTGTTACTTGACTGACTTCAATGAAGAGAACATAGGCGCCAGATGAAACACATATACGTAAGAAGAAACCGGTGGACAATATGGGTAGAACAACAGGGACAATGTGACAGGATTTACTGTAAATACTAAAAAAGTATTATCGTTCTCGTAGGCTGTCAAAGTATCTTAACTGTTACCCGTAAACAATATTTTCTATTTAATCCCGTTCTAAGAGAAGTGATGATACTATTGCAGTAAATTAAACAAAACTGATGATTGTTGCATAATCTATAGTGCGCGTATACGTCTATTA